TAGTTAACTGTAGCATTAATTACAAATATTAATAAAGCAGATAAAAAAAATGTTATTGTGAATAGTCCGGTTAGTCGAGTTTTAAAAAAGTTATCGCATTTTAGAACGTGGTCGAAGACTTTCGGCCAGGTGCCGGAATATTGAGATATTGAGTTATTGATTTTGAAAGTTTTATTCGATGTGCAGAGATATTCGAATGATTACGAAAGTTATTCAACTGGATGTAAGTAAACTTTTTCATAATAAGACTGTCATAATAGCTGTCCACCCAAGTGATTTTATTCTACGCTTATAACATACGAGTAGAGAGAGTGGACAGTTATTATGACCGTAGATATCTTCTTTCGAAACAGACCATACTATATATAGTATAGTATAGTATATATTATTGTAGTGTATAGTAGAATTCCATTTATATGAACAAAACTTCTTGCAGTGCCTGGTTAACTAAACTCTAGTTCAGCTCATAATATAATTCACATGAATAATTCATTCCGCAGTTCATATAATTGGAGTGAACAACCAAGCATGAGAACTTACTTGCTCCCCTCGTGATTTGTATAAATGAAGCTCCACTGGGCATGCGATAATATTTTTAAAATTGACTGAAAATGCTCGATTTCATGTTTTCGAGAAACTAAAAGGTTCATTCAATGACGTACGATACAAATTTCGAGGATTATGCAATTGGTCAAAATCGCAGAGGAAATACAGAGGAATAATGTATGTATGTGTGTGTGTATATTACTTCTCAGAACGCGGACGATTTTTATAATATATCTCTGTCACTTAAATAGAGTTCGTAAAGAATAGTCTAATTTATATTGTTGAAATATAAGCTTCTTCATGAAGCAATATATTTCATCGAAACACTGATTAATTGTGTATTGTTTCGAAAGAAGTAATTACAGGTTTTGGATCTGATTGGAACTCCTAAATAATCGAATGATAAGAAGGTGATTGAATAATGTTAACAGGCGGGTCCAACAGAGACTCGCTATTGTTTCGTCGGAGCGGTTGTATATGCACGGTAAACAATTATCTCCCGTAATTATCAAGAATGTAATAACGCAGTATCTTCTGCAAACCGACTGTTGACACGGCGGACCATTATTAATGCAGTAGAAACAGTCGTATTAGTCAGCCATCGTTTACAGCGGCATACACCGGAGTAGGCTAGCGGCAGTAGATTCGGTTAGCACATAATCAGCCAACCGTTGCAGTAGTCAGACTTCGTTGAAACTCAGACAACAGCGGGAGTCATTATTAGGTGTCTGCCGTTAGATAACGGAGCAGTGGCGCGTGTGCACGGGGCCACAAAACAAGAGGTTACCGTACTGACCTAATTCGAATATAGCAAGTTTACCGTTTCAGAGATTTTCTTATAAACGAATAATTTCGCGAAACATGTTATTGCGTCATTCGCTACAAAATAAGTTATCTGTCTTCGATGCATTGAACGGTTGTATATTATGCTGTTCCATTTCAAAACTGTTTGCTAGGACGTGACCAAGAAACAATACAAAAGTGTTAATGGACAAGCTTCGAACAGAGAAATACCAAATAAAATATAACTAGTCGGTAAAAATTTCCAATTTAGGTTTCTAACAAGGTTGCGGATTTTTAAACATTTCAATATGGCGAGAATAATATAAGTATTTCGATATTCTGTTCAGTTTTCGCGTGTTTCACAAATTCACTACAAGTAGACAAAACTCTACTGTTAGCTGTTTATGTTTTCAATTATTCTATTTTTGTATTATATTCTTTCATATTCTCATATTATACCTTTTCTTAAATTGCAATTTTCGTGGAAACTAAAACATATTCGTAATGTATCACGTTACATAACAGCGTCAACATTGGATTTATACAAACTTCGTACTACGATTTGCTATTACAACGTATGCTTCGATGAGCGAAGTTCATCAAAGAATTTCTCATAAAAACGTGACCGTACTTTTAGTAACTGTACTACCGTGCTATGCTTTCGGTAAGCCTCATTATTTAGACGTGTTACATTATTGAATTAGAGCAGCGATACGCTGCATCGAGAGACCAGCACTTCTTAACCTGTTGCACTAACGAAGGACGATTTCCCAATATTCGCCGCAAGATTACAGCTTCCCAATAATTAGCCGATGCGAGGGGATCAATTCTAGTGACCCCGGCAACGAAGTTATTAAAGAATTACCCACAATAACCGTAATCCCGGACGGTCCGTGGGCCACGGCGGCAGCTCGCATAATTCCCAGAATCCTGTTATTGGGCCGGCATCGGCGACCGCAGGGGCGCAGGACAAATTGAAGGACGCGCCGTAGGATCACGTGGAAAAATTAATAAGGGCCGCAGTTAAAGGTCGCGCAACATACTTGACGATCGGTGAAGATCCGCGTAATCCTCTTACGCCGGTGGATCCTTCGGATCCAGCGTTGACCGACTCATCCGGGAGGCTGTAAGCCTTTAAACCTATCCCAGACGAAACCAATATCGGACCAATTTCGAGAAAACGGCGCCGCGATATATCGAGTGACGTGGGGGCCAAGCTTTCGGATCAAATTGCCCTGGCGGATTTCGCACGGACGTTCGAACGGCTCGAGACACCCGCTGTCTGTTTCTTAATATTCCGTGATTACAACCGACTCGGTATGATTTTTACTTTTACTCGCGGCTGGGAACGGTAATCGACAACGTGGCACTTTATTTTCTATAAAATTCTCGTTCTCTCACTTTCTTTTTTATCGAAGCCTGTAACGTTTGGAAAATGTTTCGTAGATCTCGATCGTGTGCGGTAGAGTCTCTCTTATCTGGGGATTTAGTTTTCTAATGTCCTGATAACAAAACATTATTGTTACGAATTACTACACTTCTCCCGCGTCGCGGCATTTTATTTACAATAGAGAACACGAACTATAATACAACTAAATTAAATTATGTTAGAGATCTTTGAATTAGATGATGTTGATCGCTCGACGGTCCGATCCCGACTCTTCGATTGTCCGTTGATAAAACACCTCCGTGGCAACCCCTCTCTTCTATTTTTCTTTAAGGAGTTGCTCACAACAGGGCAGTTTCACATTACAGCGACTTGATTTGGACAAGTCGCCGTAACATTAT